ATCCTACAATGCTTACAATTAGGATATATTCAACACAATCAGGACAATTTCGAGGTGCCAAAATACTATTTTAGACTTGAACAACATTCTTTATTTGACTTATGCCGCAACATCAACCCCTGATAGTTGTAAAGCCGAAAGATGTTTTCACGAAACGACGTTGTACGGAAGAGGTAGAAGCAGCTGACGGTATACTTTGGTAGCAGATCCCATACCCCATTCAGCCGATTGATGTACTAATGGTCTGCAGGGCTAAACGACATATTAGGGGTCGACGCTCGACGTCGCCTACCTTCAAGGGGGTTCTGGTCTTACCAGCGCAGCGTCCTTCAGTGGTGAAGGCAGAGTCCGTTGCGACCTTCATTCCGACCCCAACTTTCGCGCAATCCGTGTTGTGGACGGTGGCTGTCATCCATGCCCCGCCATGACACACAGGGACCCTTGGCGGGGTCCCTTGGTGCCAATCCTGTGAACCGACGCGTTATATACACTCTAGTGGTACTAGTAGTAGTATTAGGAGCTAGTTGAAGTGTCGGTTGGGAGTGGTCACCATGGTCAGCCAATCAGTGGCCACCTGGGACCACCTATGATTTCTACAGAAGCTCACTCCTAGTTTTGCTCTGGAATGACATAACAATCAAGTGCGAGGTTCACGGGACCCCATTTGGTTGTTTGTGTTGGTGAAGTGCGGGAAACAACACAAAGTTAACTTTAGTTCTAATTACCTACAACTGCGAGACTGACAGCGATGACGCGCTGAAAAAATGGCATAAAATGGCCGTTTTTCGAAGAAAAGTTGCCAAAATCGAAATATTTCATTTTTCGAGATTTTGTGCATCTGGGTGCCACCAAAGTTCAAAACTTATCCCACAATTTCTTGAGAAACGGGTGTTTTATGGTTAATTGGGTTCGGATTACTCCGGAGTATCATTTTTAAGACATTCCTGTCAAGTTGTGCATTCTGCCAACCCTGTGTCTCCTCTCTTTCACTCACGTCTGTTCTAGTCTATCCGTCTCAGTCTTGTACCCATCATGGGCGCATAAAGCACTCATAAAACGGACGGTGACTCTCAAGATCTGGCCTATCACAACCCACTTTTTTATGGAGGTTTGTGTTCACGTTGAAGTCTTGCACTAATCCATTTTTTTTCCATAATTAGGAGTTACTAGTACACGTGAATGCATCCACTGGGATAAACTGTAATGTGAGTTCAAGACAGATGATATTGGACGGGATAAACTGCATCTAATCATTTCATCCAAGCGCATCCAACTGCATCCAGATGCTTACTAGTACTAGTACACGTGAATGCATCCACTGGGACAAAACTGTAATGTGAGTTCAAGACAGATGATTTTGGACGGGATAAACTGCATCTAATCATTTCATCCAAGCGCATCCAACTGCATCCAGATGCTTACTATTAACTGTAAATGATAACCCAAACTCAATTAACCGATGTCCCACATCGGTTATGAGTTTGGATTATTGGGTCGAGTGGGTGATCTCGGGGGTTCAAAAACAACGGGATTCTCACAAAAACAATTCAACTGGCATGCAGACAACTTTGTGTTCTCGGGGGTTCAAAAACAACGGGATTCTCACAAAAACAATTCAACTGGCATCCACACTACTTTGTAGATTCTTCTTCATGGGATATGAGACATTGGGAAATTTTGGCTGACTTGCCAAAACGATGTAGTGGTATGGCATAATTTTATGAGGTAGCATCCAGACCAGCCCTTAGCTTTATTAGGCTGAAATCGGTCCTATATAGGGTAGTATCCATGTTGAAATTTGGAAGGGATTCTCACAGGCACAATCTCGGCCGATGTGATAAATCCTACGTCGAAGTAGTAACGTTATGCGAAGTGCCGCTTTTCCGGAGACTTGAAGTAGTAACGTTATGCGAAGTGCCGCTTTTCCGGAGACTTGACTAATCAAATCACTCCGGGTGCCGATATTTTTGCTTTTGGCCCGGATCCGCGTACCCTAGACACCGAATAAATATATAATTTGACCAATAAGCGTTGAGTAAAAATACAATGTTCAGTACTTCGCACGCCTTTTTGACACTTTTGGTCAATCTACTACTTGAACTGACCCTCAAACAGCATGAGAAGTAGCCATGGCTTCCACGCTTGGCCGAAAGAGTTGGCGAGGCCGAGTCGTGCACTCCCCAATTTTCTCCGATGAAAGTACCATCGTCGCTTGCTATCGCTGCCGCGTTCGCCGCCTCGTCCGTGGCAGCGCTGGACGCCAAGTTCTACGGCATCAATTACGACACCCGTACCACGATCGACGGTGGGTGCAAGGATTTCCTCACGATCGCCGAGGACTTCAATGTTCTCAGGCGAGTCACCGACTACGTCCGCATCTACGGGATGGACTTTAATTGCTCCAAGAGCGTGCTCGAAGCCGCCCGCGACAATGCACTCAAGGTCTGGCTCGGCCTATGGAGCGAGGTCAAATCGACTGACGCGGTCGACTCATTCCCGTCGCAATATGACGCCTTGAAGAGGCTCGTGAGTGATGAATCGTTCAAAAGCGACAAAATCCTCGGCATCCAAGTGTCGAGCGAAGCCTTGTACCGGTACTACGTGAAAGGGCCGGGCAACAAGACCGGCAGCAGCGACCGCCACGGCATCAACACCGTCCTCGGCCACCTCAAAACAGTGCGAAGCCACCTCCGCGACCACAACTTAACGTTCCCCGTCGTGATCTCCGACATCATGGACATGTACACGAAGTTCCCCGAGTTGTACGACGAGGTGGACGTGGTCGCTGTGAACCAGTTTTCGTTCTGGGAGAACAAGGCGGCGGAAGAAGGCGCGCACTTTACGTTCAAGCGCTTCCAGGAACAAGAGACACGCGCCAAGCGCGCCGGCAAGCTCATCCTGTTGCACGAAGCTGGCTGGAGCACAGCGGGTGAGCACCCCATCGTCACCGAGGCTTCTCCCCGGGCCCAAGGCGTGTTCACGCAGGACTTTCTGACCCTGGCGGCGCGCCAGAACCTCAACGCATTCTACTTTGCCGCGTTCGATTTGCCGTTCAATCCGACCGATATTGAACGCAACTTTGGCATTCACTACGCTAACCGCGAGTTGAAGCGATGGGTGGAGGAAGTCCACGTCGGCCCGCCGCTCGAAGCGGTCCGCCTCAGGGCCGGAGACAACGTGATCAAGGCGCACCGCTACTGGAACGCCGACGACGACTCGGTCAACGAGAACTTTGGCCGCGTGTATGCTGCGAAGGCGTCAGTCGGTCCATCGGGCGTCTGGGATGACGAGATCTGGCTGCGGGAACCTAAGTCCAACATGTTGTACTCCAAGAGCTCGAATCTGTGCTTGGAATCTTCGAGCGAGAACGACACGCAGACTTGGAATATGTTGGGAACAACAATACGCAGACCCTGGGCACGTCCCCCTGCTCCAACGTGACCAACGATCAAAAGTGGAGCTTTGTGAACGGCTACATTGTGAGCCAGAATGACGCCAAGTTTTGCATCGACGTGGACGTGCACGGGAGCTGCCAAACGACCCCCAACGGGAACCTCGTTGTCAAAATGTCCCCGTGTAACGTTACCGAGGAACCGACCAAGCCGAACTACATGTACCAGGCAGCCCACGAGCCCCTCGAGATCGGCATCAAGACGGACGGCGGCGTGCTGACCGAGTTGTCCGGCAAAGTGACGTGGCAAACCAACCGCCGCACTGACAGCCACCAGTGGTTTTACGATCCCGTCACCCGGAGTATTAAGAACAGGGCCTCCCTCTTATGCTTGGACGCGTCCAAGCGCATGACCGGTGGAGATGTGCTCTTGCGCCAATGCAATGCCGCCAACGTCAACCAGAAGTGGGTCTTGAACGACATCACGGGCCAGATCCATCATGCAACGCACTTTGGGTTTTGCCTCGGCGCCCCTGACGACGTCGACGGACTTGTGTACTTGTTGTGGTGTGATAAAAACGATGCCAACCAACAGTGGAACATCAAGCCCATCCGTCTAAAGACGTAGGGACAGCTTGGAGGCACGCACATGCATGAATGTACCGGTATCGTTGGAGCTCAACGCCAAGCGTTGGGCAGCTTTGAGATATCTAACAGTAAAGTATACCGCTCCATCCCAAATCACTGACACGTTTTATATTAGTTGTGAAATGCAGCAGAAAACAATCAATTTTATTACTTCGAAGTAAAAGTTATCTAGCGTAAATGACCAATTTATGATCGCTCCCTGTGAGCCAATCGCATCGCAGTATTGTTTCACTAGAAAGCCTCCAATAGATTATACAGCGTGAACTCGATACGTTACACACGCAAACGAATTATCCGGACATTCGACTTGAAATACCAGGAATTGCTCAGGGATCGACGACAACAATGCAAGATGATAGATACCTCTTGGTTGGGAAGGTACCCCGAAAGGACAAGAATTCCCGCCCGAGCTTAATCAATTCGTATCCATTGTACAAACTCATGGCGCCTCCCTACAAACATCACGATTCAAGTAAGTTACCGGTACGCATACTGAAGTAGGATGTTTACCTCGCAGATAACCTATAATTGTTAATTGGTCGTCATGGATAGTGTAGTATGCATGTTTGTCACAGGTGTTGAAGCCGACATAGACCTATCGTATTCCCCATCTACCTATACTTTCACGCGCTGACGCCATGGCTTTGCGCATCACAGGCACTCAGCAACCGAGACAACACTTAATTAACGATAACCTCAGCTTACCCGTCCTAAAATGAAACGATTGGAACAGGTTATCCGGACCATGTGTTGGAACCATCCCATCAAATATTCTTGAAATACACAACCTTGTAAATTTATACTTTACCTGGCCAGAATGAATACCCTTTCCGCGCAATTTGTATGCATGGAGGCATACACAGTTCAAGGTTAAAAAAGTGATCCTAATTGGTCCTCAAAAATCGAGTAAACTTGCTTGGAAAGTTGGATTTTTGTATTAGAAGGACATCTTGAAATGTAATACTTCGATGATGAAATGAAAGCACTGTGTTCGGTTGTTAAGAATCACTTCACAAAATGTGAAAAGCCTTCCTGTGAGCCGAGATATGCGAATTTTACGGTACTACTCCGAAAAAGTGATCATAAATTGGTCATTTACGTTATGAATGATGGTGAATTTACTGGCTGGAGTTGGGCTTTTTGCGGTGCGAATTATCCTGAATTATCAGTCCATTACAATACTGGAGGTTGTTATCCGAACACTATGCGGATATTCTGGAATGCAGTGGAGATGCTCTTACAGTTGAGCAATCACACGGAAGATAACATGAGGTGATGTTGACATCTCTCTATTTATGATGCACGTCATCTAAAAACTTCCAACTGGCCAAATCGAAGAGTGGAGGTTTTATTATCGTACAATTAATGTAGTTAACTGTAAACCCAAAAACCAAAACGTTAAATACCGATTTTATGCGTTTTATCACTGCAGTGGGAGGTTAAAGGTCCCAACTGCCTCCGGATATTACATACGGATAAGAGTCACATACAAAAATCAAAATACATCTCAGCGGCCACCCCTATGGCCAAATATCCATGCGCCCATGTAAAATACCACTAGGTAAATATCTATTTCTGGACCAATTCATCACCAAATTTGAATATGAGACGTAGAATTTCTTCACCACATTGAGATCTATCTCTCAATTTGCTGAAATTTTAAGTAATGAATATGAAATAGAAGTCAGAAAATTTTGTGAAAAGTTGGTAGTTTATAGGTGACGGGCATCATATACAGCCGAATACAACATTTGAGACAATCTCCATACATTCTTCAAGTCTGGTGAGCATTTAAAATTATAAATTTATGGGTTCAGCGGCTGATTTGCATACACATGCAGTTTTTGAAAAAATGGCAATGGAGGCCTTCCAAAACGAACACAACTAACAGTAAAGTTTATGACAGTGAACTTTCGCATCTGTGACATTTTCCGTTTAATAATACACTGTACTCCTTCGCAAGATGTTGAGACCGTTTTCTGGTCTCAACAAATCAGTGGTTTGCGAAGTCGCAGTCGCAAACATATACTCTATAATTTGATAGTATTGAGTTCTAAAAGTACAATTCAGGATTCGATGTCCAAGGGTCGAGGAAAGAGTTGGTGCCCATCGTAGGTTGACCACCTACTCAACCAAGTTCAAGCAATCTTACCTTAGGTAAGAACGGGTGCAAGACGAGTTCAAGTCGACCCCGACAACATTCCACCAGTCAGACAGCGATGCGCTTAATCGTAAGTTTGCCCAACTTCGAAACTACCAAAAGCTCACTCGAGACCCCGAATACCAGGACGCTCGTCTCTCCGTCGTTCCACGAACCGGGGGAATTGTGTCCCCCCAGATAAGCGTGCAATCAAGGCCATAGCACAGCACACTCGTGATAAAAACGCTGTGCAGCCATCCTTTCAGTTTACTAGCGTTTTGTGATATTACATATACATACCATTGTAATGTTCATTTTAGAGATCAATGCTCGATGGTTCTTGTACGCGTAGATTCTTGCCGTCAACGAAAGCAAACATGTCCACAAGTGGCTCATGTAGGTTCGACTTTAACGTCCAGTAAGCCTGCTTCGTCTTTGATGGCCACATTATCGCAGCCTTTTGCTCTGCTACAAGTGCTGTCTCCGCACGGCTTAAACCCGGGAAACGTACTGGGAGTCAGGGCAAAGAGCTCTTGAAGCGATTTTGCTTCAACCTCTGCCGTGTAGAAATGCAACAACATCGCAAGCACTGCGTGCTTGTGTTGAATGCGGGGACGGCGGCCGCCGCGCCTTGGTCCGGAAAGTACGGTGTACTCTTGTTGGAAGTGTTGCAGGAGGTTGTCGAACGCCGCAGGGGTGATCAATTCAGTGGTCACGAAAGAACCTTGGTCACGCGATTGGTTCATCACGTTCCAAGGAGAATCCTCTTGGTTCTTGAGAAGTGCAATGGACTTGACGTAGTTGCGTTCTTTCAGATGTCCTCGAATCTTGATGGCACACATCACTCGACGGAGGCGCTGTTGTCGTGAGGGCCACAAGGGCTAAAGCAAGCTTCATTGTGAATGGCAAAAACGATGTCGATTACCAATAATTAATATCCAATAAAAATCATTTTATGGCATCTTATTGCCCAATACCATTGGGTGATGTTTGCTACAAAAGCGATTGTTTTTGGTGGTCACTACAATAGTATCCGCCTGACTTCAGTCATCAAAGTCATTAAAAATACACCTTTTATCCGGACAAAATATACTACCTCTGTCCGGAATTAGTAGTGGATCGTGAAACATCCGGATAATAAACCGGGAATAAGTATTAGGGCTCCCTGGTCCACAGCTGTAAGTATCAGAATAATTTAATAATGAGAGTCAAGATTATCGAAATATCGAAAACTAGCGGTATCCTTTAATAGAGGAGTTCAAGGTGAATACGAATAAACTAATACTGTCCCAGAGTACCCCCAATCGAAAGAGTGAATCAAGAATCCAAGTTTATTACTTTATCCAAGATATCCATGATGTAACCTATTTATCCGGAGTGCGACCAAGTTTGATATTTTATCCTATATAGTACTTTGGATGTAACGATTCTATCCGGAATTGGGTTCCACTCTTATCCGGTTTATCCGTAATATCGTACACTTTGTCCGGAATTTTCACATTATCTGCACCCATGTGTGATTCATTTAGATTTGGAGAACAACACTCATCCAGTATGAGCAATTCGTAATAAATTGCAATCGTTGAAATACTATTCAACATATTGCAGGTGAATTACTCGCGATATTTGTTGCAACGATTTTCGTGAAGAATTCTTCGATGTTCGTGCTGGTCACGGCGTTGCGCGAGCGGTTGATTGTTTGTGCCATGCGGGTCGTGAGAAGTGGCTGTCGCTTTTGAAAGCTCTTGTACCAGTGCCGGCTGACTACTGGGCGCTTCAACTTCTTGGCCAACTGGTTCGCCTTGTTGACAATGTACGCTTGAGTTGGTGGGCGTCCTTTCGTTTGCATTTTTGCAATCCAAATGAACAGGTCGTTTTCGACCTCGGTAGGCACACGAGGCTTAGGCCCAGGACGCTGCGGGGGTTCGTCGTTCCAGCGCTGATCAAGGTGGCGCTGCAAGGACGTGCGTGGTACATGGTGCAGTTTCGCGGCGGCAGCAATGCTGGAGCCATTGTCACAGGCTTCGATCGCGGCTTCCATAGCGGCCTGATCGTTTTGCTTTCGTTTTGAGCTCATGATGTCAAATGCATAAGTGATGAGTGATCTTATGAGCTTCAAATTTTCGCGTCATGGGGCTCGCGCCTCCACTACTGTTCGGATAATTCATTCTCTTTGAATTTATTCTGTGTGCGATATTGGGTTTCAAAAGTATTTCAGTATTGGAGTAAGTTGAACTTGATTGGCTGGTGTACCCTGTCCATAAATTGGCGCATGTCCATAAATTGACTCGTTGCGTTACTGCTGGAAGCATCCCAAGAGCATACACGAGTGATACACATTTCTCGCGGCCGGTTCAACCTCATGGCACAAAGCTATTCAACGTGCGCCTTCCACTTTTGCTTTAAGAATATCGAGATTCAGCAATTGAAAGTGCTGCTGGAGATTCCCGACCCGATAATCACGCCCCAGCGCTACAACGCAAGCGCCGAGGAGCTGCTCGCGCTCATCGTACTCCTCGTCTGTTCCGGACGCACGAAGGGCAGCAAAGGTTTGTTCTTGAAAAGCAGACATTAAGTCGTCATAGCGTTTTCGTGCTCCGTTGACCGTTATGGCTTGGTCATAGATGCGTTGGACATGCTTTGTGACCTCTGTCCAGCGCTTCTTGACCTCGTCATGGGGCGCTTCAAACGGCCGAACATGAATGACTTCCTTAGGAAGCTCGACGTCGGTGCACCCCTTAAAGCGGAAGCTGTCTTATGCTTCAGCACGGACTCGGACTCTTTGTCCTCTACCACATCGTTGTCGTCCATACTGTACTCCAAGAATGTCACAATGAAGTGTCAGTTGTGAGGTTTTATGACAATGATTTTTCTCGAACAAATTTGCCTGTGGATGGCATCTACCGTTATTTGTTCACAGTGATTTTTCCACAAAGAATTACTTGAGTATATATAGCAAAATCACTATAATGCTCGTCTATTTATGTGACTGTGAGTTCATGCAAACAGGCACGAAATACACTCGTGACACGGTACATAACGTTAGCCACACAAATATTATTGCCAAAAAACACTTCTACAGTAACGTGATCGACCATTGATCGGCCAAGGTGTTTCGTCCAATTGAAATTAATACGATGTTTCATTGGACAAAATAAATCCTTGTGATAAGTTTTACCTGTATAATATGATGGAGGTAAACAATTCAACGTTGAACAATACTTGCAGCTCTTACTCTGAGTCCGTATACCTGTTGAAATTTAGTAAACCTTTGAGACATAGTCTTTGAATTTTTGGAGCGAAAAATTGACCCAACTTTTTTCAATACTTAATTCAAGTGTAAATTTTGGCCGATCAATGGTCGACTGTGTAAAGTGCCGAACTTTGACATTTTTTTGGCCTGCCAAGTATTGTTTAAATCGATACATTTGAATATGCCGAGAAAGAGCTGTCCGTCAGCTTTCCGGAAATGTTGGTTTCAATGAAATGCCATGAAAACCAATTGAGATATTTTAGTTTGAAAATTTTGAAAATTTGGCTGATCAATGGTCGATCACGTTAACGTAGATGGCCAATTTACTAGTATGGTGCACTTGAAAGAAACCTCGTCGCAGTTACTCGTCTCCCAGGACTGCGATTTCGATTCTGAAAAGTGCTGCATGAAGCCGAAACGATACTTCTGATCATTTAATCGGCTGAATACACTTCATCTTAACGTTAGCGGTCATTTACTTCGATTTCCACTCAAGTCAATGCAAAATAAGACGGATGGTTTGTGCTGGCTGCACAGTTTAAGCTTAAAATCTTGTATGCTGTTTTTGCATATTTTTTGGTAATTTCATTTTTCTAGTGATTCGATTGGCTACAATCAACGACAGATTTTAAGGAACAATTTGTTCTTCGATTTCACCATGACAAAGAAAATTCATTGGACGAAGGACTTCGAAATTCGATTGATTTGTGGCCAACCAAATTGCAGGCCCTACAATTTGAACAATTTCAAACAATCACGTATTTTAAATTGATTGGATCGATGAAGCGCCTGTAATGACAAGCGTTTGACGCGATAGCGCAGTGGTAAAACATGTTGTGTCTTGAGTGAGCCCCGGGTTCAAGTCCCGGGCGCGTCGAACTTTTTTCCGAATAGCATACAAAGTGCAAGATTGTTTTTGCCGAAGAAAAGTTCATTGAGGAATAGCCATAGCAAAAATACGACGGATTTCTTCCGGCGAAATACGAGCCCATGTCTTAATGGCACGGTGAATCATCACCAAACGCTTTTGCTGCGCTGGTACAGTCATGAGATCTACATCTTCGTCACTATCACCACCCTCGATGAGATCTTCTTCGAGCCACAAACTGCGCAAGTGGCGTTTAAATGGGGCCATAACCCCAACGTCCAATGGCTGCACAGCACTTGTGGCATTCGGCGGGATGGCTGCCACAACACAACCGGCCTCTTCACTGGCGATCTTGACTCCTTCCTTGCTAACATGCCGGTCGAAGTTATCGAGCAACAAAACTGAGGGCTCCCGCACTTGTGGCTTCAACACTTTACGAAGGTACATGGCCCAGACTTGTGAATCCATCCACGCACTCTCTTGCACTGCGTAGTGGTGACCAAGTGGGTACGACTCAAACTTATTCGCTTCAATGGCGCCACCGGGCATGCCACGCATGATGAACAGGATGGGGAGCTTCTCGCCATTCGCACGGGCACCCAGCACAGCTGTCATGCGGTACGAGTGCTTTTCGCCGCTCGCAATCTTCGCCGTACCACCGTGTACCGACCAAATTGCATGAGGTGGCACGTCGTACGTCATACCCGTCTCGTCGACGTTGATGATGCTGTCACCGCTGAACCCAGCGAACGCCTCGTGGTAGTCAGCAGCGAACGTGCTTCGGATGGCAGCAAGGTCTGCTTGGGTCTTCTTTGACTTCGCTGGCTTCTGGCGTGTAAAGCCATGACGGTGGCAGAATGTTTGCAGCAGTTTGAGCAGCGACTGGTATCCACAATTCTTGTTCGCTAGGTAGCCGTCGAGCCACGCGCGATGGTACCGCTTGAGGTAGTTGACGAGGTGGGTGCACGTTACAGCGCGTTCGGCATCGCGGAGCTTGCGCATGAAGGCTTCGAGAGCGGCCGTGTCGGGGATCTCTTCGGGTCGACCAGCACCATTGAGGTTGAACTGCTTCGCCGTGCCGTCGAAGGCGAGGAGCTTGGTGGTCTGGTTGGCCCAGCGTGCCAGGTTGCTCTTGGGGATCCCAGTCGCCGCCTCCACGTCTCGAGTTGAGGCTGATTGTAGCGCGCTAAGCATGGCTCACTTCACAGCCTGGGTGTAGCGTCGTCTCGGCTTCTTCTGGGGACTGATTTTGTTGCGGCACTTTGGAGGCATTCTTTGAAGTGACTGGATGTGTCGGCATCGCCTCCAAGTGCCCGCGAATTTTAAATGTTTCCGCGGCAAACCATCCTTCGACCAATCATCGAGCATTATTTGCTTATTTGAATTTAATTGGTTAATTTTTCCAACCTTGTTGAAAACTTCGGGTGTCCCTTAAAATCCGTCGTTGATTGTATTCCAAAAATCAAGTAATTCCATTGGCCATTTTGAGTGCACCTTAAATTGTCCCGTGCCCCATAAACTGGCCATCTACGTTAGCAAGCATCATGAACAACCAACCTTCTCCAACTACAGTACCTAAATCACTGACACTGTTTGCCACATAGCGGTTTTGTTTCTGGATCCTTCTCCAGTATTCCAGAATTTTCACAGGTAATTTCAAGTTAGCAAAATCACTCTATTATTGACTTGTTAATGGAATTCGCAAGGTGAGCCACCTTGCTCCTTTTTAATATCCAATCAGAATCCATCACACCTTGTTTCTTACACACGATTGGCTATAACACTGACAGAAGAGGTTACAATTTTGAACTTTGAATTTTGTACTCTGGAGTAGAGCTTTGTGCT